GACATAAAAAATAGTACTAGAATTGATGAGTTTAAACATAAATATAAAGGTATGTGTCAATCAAGATATATGCAAGAACAGGTTTAATGATTAATTAGATGGAACATTGTGGGTGTGGTGTATGAATGTTAACACCTTGTATTAATTCTTTAGTATGTTACTTGTGTGGTGTAGAAGATAATTATTTAAGAATGTAATTATGTAAGAATGTTAACACTCTTATATTTTTTTAGTATATTACTTGTGTGGTGTAGAAGAGAATTATCTATGTAGAGATACTGCTTGCAAACCAATGATGGTAAGATGATGTCATGGGGTAGGACTGGATAAGTCTGACTTCTTCCTACTCCATTCAAGCATGTACTAGGTATAAGCACATTGATATTGGATTAGCATTTGTTGGATATGTGTAAAATTATGTGTGTTGATATATCAACTGTCTTTACATGCTTGAAAGAATAAATCAAATCAAATCAATCAAAAAACCTTTGCAAACTCATTTCACAGAACCTGCCATGCACAATCTCAGATTTCAAGTTTTGTATTTGTTGACTGTACCAACTGTGAGAACTGAAATGGGCGCCTTTGTGCAATCAGCTGTGGCTACTTGGAACAATCTGCAGAAGGAAATGAAACTGACAACACTGGGAGCAATGACTCAGTTTAAATCCATGATGAATGCCCTATTTGCAAAAAGTCTTTTGTTTTAGTTTGTTGGATTATTGGATGAACAGTTTTTTAAAAACAGAAAATGATATCTGTTTCTTGTTTTAGCCACAATTATTAGCCTGTTGTGTTTAATATATTTGATTATGTTTAATGTTTTTAATTCATTGTTATGTTTAACGTTTGCAATTAGTTTTTGTCTGTAGCTTTGTTGCTGCCTATCTTCGCCAGGCTCCCCTTGTAAAAGGGTCCATAGCTCGTGCTGTCAACACGTCACATAATATGATCTATGTGATATCATTCACAGAGTTGGCAGTAAAGTGCTGCTGTAAGGCTGAAGTCTGGTATTACCGAATCCTGGAAGATCTTGTCAGTCGAGAGGGGAAAAGCCAGGGTGTCAGTGGCATTTCAGTGAGTGTACTGTCCCCCTGTGGCCGCTACTGGAACATCACAGACTGTATGATCAGTCACTGAGAGCACATAAAGCCTTATAGCCTACCACGTGTTTATGTCTTTCAGAATTATTGTGAGTTTTTTAGGTGCTTTGAAGTAAAGCATTTGTGCATGTGTTTTGTAACAGGGCATTTTAGAGAATGATCTTCTCCAGTGCTGTCTGGTGGTCTGCTGTCTGGAGATTACCATATACTCAAGCTGTCTGCGATGTGACTTACCTCTGCTCCTTCACTTGTTCAAGCTGCCAGCATATGACTTCTGGAAGGTGCGTTCCCAGTCTAGTTCAGCTGGTATATATTGTATGTGTACAGTAGGTGTATACCTGTCTGTGTGTGTGGATAGTTTAACATGCTCTGGGATTTGAATCAGTGATTTAAAGAAAAAAGGTGTGTTAGCCATGTCCCTTTAAGCTTTGACACTCGTTCCCCAGGTGACTGAGCTGGTGCTGTGGATTGAAGTGACACTGCATCACTCTGATGCCAGACACCTCACTCAAGTGAAAGAGAAAGTCCTGGAGAGCTTGGCCTGGACCAGCAACTCATCGCTGTGGGAAGAAATCAGAGCCAATGAGGGTCATCTGCCTACCTGCCAGCAGGTTGGCAGTAACTCCTAAAAACTCTTAACCTGTCTCCAGGTGTTACGTGATTCATTTCCGGTTACATTAGAAATATGATTAAAATATTTTTCCTTTGAACATTACGATAGTGTAATGATCTTTTATCAAGAAAACCAAAGTATTAAAGTAGTACAGTATTTCTTGATTCATGGCTGATTGAGGGCTTTGTGTCATCTGTAGGTAATGCCTCCTACACAGCTAGAAGATCCACAGAGAACAGAACTGCACCCTGATGGAAGCCTTCCAGGAGGTACTGTAGAGACAGTGTATTAAAGCTCTTTTTTGATGCACTATTTGGTTTAATACATTTTATAAATGTACTGGTCACCTCTGTTTTCATCAGTGGGTGGCAGTTTGGGAGCTGACAGCACTGACCATCAGTGTTCCCCATCAGCTGGAAACAGGCCTCGGAGCAGCAGCTTCCTCCATGTGTTTGCTCGTAAGGTCAGCTCATCTACCACACCAACAGCCCACTACTGTGTTAAATGATCTTGTGTTCTGTGGCTCAAAATAACAGTTCATATGTATGTTCTACTATGTTAAGTGCAGTTGTGTTTGCTCTGCTTCAGGTTTACAGCCTGATGGGAAAGCGTCTGAGGGAGCTATGTTCCATAATGGGAATTTCTGATGAGTTACGGTTGAAGATCTGGACCTGTTTTGAGTACTCTCTGGTCTACTGCAACTATCTCATGGTAGGCCATCACCTGGACCAACTGCTGATGTGTGCCATCTACATCATAGCTAAGGTGGGGTCTGATATACAGTATCTACATATGTGATCATTTGTTGATTTGGTAACGTAATCAGTGCAGATGAGAAGAAACTTGACAACTTTTTTTATGGCAATGGGGACATTTTTCAGATTTTGACATGTACATTAACAGCACTTAAATAAATTAGATATAATGTACACATGGGTGACAAATTAAAAGAAAAACCTGAATAGATGACACGTCTCTTCCAGGATGACAGTGCCCCCATACACAAGACATGAGGGCTCACTGAATGATTTAAGTATTAAAATAATGTGAATCATATGCTGTGGCCTTCACAGTCACCGGCTCTCCACCCAGTGGAGACTATTTGGGAGATTTTGGAGCGACATGTCAGGCAGTGTCTCTACCACCATCATCAAAACACAAAATGAGGGAATATCTTTTTGAAGAATGGTGTCCAGTAGAGTCCAGAGATCTATAGAGTCAATGTCAAGGTGCACTGAAGCTGTTCTGGTGGCACATGGTGGCCCAGCACCTTACTGAGACACTTTATGTTGGTTTTTCCTTTTATTTGTCACCTGTCTGTGTGTGACAGTGGATTAATTTGGGTACTACACAATGGGAATGACACTAAAACATACCAATATAATACAAAGGATACAGTGGACACGTCGAGAGCATTTATGATATTGTATTAGATGCTTCTTTGGGCCATGAATGTTAAACTATATTTCAGTTTGTAATTGACTATTATTTCAACCAACTTTCTTGTTAGATGAAATAGAGGGTAGCCTACTTTTTTCCTTATGGTTCTAGCAATATGCTGCTGTACTAAATCAAATGTACCTAGAGTACCTCCATAGTTCATAATACTAGTAGTATATTTTAATTTTAAATGCTGAATCATTGAACTAACTGATGCAGGTGTGAGATTTTTGCCTGGAATTCCTGACAAAATCGACTCTTAGCTTAAGGAATTTTCTTTTTTCTTGTCTTTTTTTTCATAGATTACCGAGAGGGAAATACCCTTCAAGCACATAATGAAGTGCTACAAGTCTCTGCCACATGCTAAGAAAAGTGTAAGCATAACAAAAATAAATAAAGGTTAATAAATCAACTAGAGTCAGTACATGTCCATCTCAGAAGCTGATTTGTTTTAAATAGTGGATAAATCAAATAAAAGATGTATGACTTAGGATGTTACTGAAAATTAAAACTGTGTCATGACGTTAACATACAATATTGAAAATGTACTTTTTTTTGTATGTGTGTGTATTATGGTTACACTGGTTTAACAGTTATAAACACAAAGTGTTTCTGTCCTCAGGTCTGC